CCAAAAGGAACCCCTTTGTCGTATTTACTCAGTTTCAAGGCACTCACCTTATTACCTTAGCTAATGACGTGCAGTTTTGTGGTCACTTGGAAGAAGAGAAGAGAAGGTAAAATTGGCCTCTAAAAAGCTTGGTGTCCTCAGCAGAGCGGGACGGTATTTCATACCGACACAATGAACGCAACTTTACAAGGCGCAGTTTCGGCTTCACATGGAATACTGTTCCCATCTCTTGGCTGGGGCTTCCCAGTACCAGCTCCTTCCACATGACCGCACTCAGCGCAGAGCGGCTCGCATCGTCGACGACCGAGTCCTTTACGATCGGCTCGATTCATTGGCGCTGCGAAGAGATGTTGCATCCCTTTGCATTTTCTTTCGCATATACTACGAGGAGTGCTCTGAGGAATTGTTTGGATTAATCCCAGCTGCCGAATTTCACAAACGCACATCGCGGCAGAACTCGCGATACCATCCACACCATCTGGATGATTGGCGGTCCACCACTGTGAGATTTAGAAGATGTTTTCTTCCTCGCACAACTTCCCTGAGGAATCGATTACCACCAGCGATTTTTTCGGACCGATACGACTTAGGGACCTTCAAGGAAAGAGCTTACTCCTTTTTAAAAGTCCGGCAACGCATCTGCAATTCCCCTGGTGTTGCTGTTATTCATGGTTGGCGGTAGTCACTTACCATCAGGTGAGCCGCATACTCGTTTGCCACCTCTCTTATAAAAAAATAAAAAGAATAAATTTAATGTTAATGGCCATAACGTGCCTCATTGTAGAACGAATAATTGGTGATTGAGTTTGCTTATTTAGAGCAATCTCTTATCTGTTGCATGGGAACCAATTGTTGACTTGATAAATTCGGAAGCAAATACGTTGTGGATGACGTTATTACGGCCATTTTGTTGATTTTTACAATATCAAATATATTCAATAATGTTATAAGTACACTAGTACTGCCTTATTGAATTAATGAGCTTGTTCATCTACAATTTTGGCAACAAAAAGTGTGAACGGTGCAAGGATCTAATTGTTTTTGTTGTGCTACGCTCAAGTTCAACACACTGGTCGCAGGCGTGTGATTACGTACGAACATTCCCTCCACCATCCCACGCCAATCTAGACATCGCAGATCGACGTTGCGTCGGAGGATTTTGATTGCGTTGCATACGATAAGTGTTTTTTTAGTGCATAGTTTTTCATCCAAAATCAAGAGTCCAGACGTCACAATGCGTTGCATAAGTTGCATGCGGGGGCCCGTCTGTCTCTACCTTAAGTCTATACAGTCATTACAATTACACGGTAGATGTAATATTTTATGTTTTAATTCATAGTTCCACATTTTGTACAAATATCTTGAGCTGGTTCTGCTGTAGAAAGATTCAGATGTTTTATCATAAAATGAAATAAAATTGATAATGTGCCCAACTACAAACTTTCAATTTTTTTTAAGCTGCTGTAGTATAGTTTAATTCTTTATAAATTCCTGTAAAATTCACACCTATTGGAAGATATCTTCTGTTTGGCGCATGATTTATATTACAGTGTGATGGCGTAGGGTTATATTTTAATATAAAAACTTTAATTTCGTCTTCGTACTCCGCAGGATAAGCATTATAAGGTGTGTGACGACCTCTAGGAATAGGAGCAGCACTAATTTTCGTATTTTTATTTTGCGTCAAGGCGTTTGGCTCTAGAACAGTCTAGTCTGCTTCATCGTTGCTAGATCCTAAGGTATTTAAAAATGTTTTGTAAATTTTGAAATTATTAAGAGGTTATTTTCGACAAAAAATTTACACGCACACACACGCACGTCACGCACACACACGCACACACACGCACACACACGCACACACACGCACAAACACACACGCACACGCACGCACGCACACGCACACGCACGTACACGCAATCAAGCACGCACACACACACACACACACACACACACGCATACATACGCACACGCTCACACACGCACGCACACACACGCACACGCACGCACACGCACGCACACGCACACTGACACGCGCACACACGCGCACACAAACACACACACACACACACACACACACACACACACACACACACACACATACACACACACACGCACACACACGCACACACACGCACACACACGCACACACACGCACACACACGCACACAAATAGCATGTAAGGAATATAAATGATTGTGGATCAATAAACAATTAAAATACATGTGAAACTTACATAAAAAATTTCTATTTCGATTTTCTTATTTCTCTAGTAATTATACTATATATTATACATAATTTAAATTATATAAATTTGGTCAAATAATTAATAAACCTTTAGTCATGTAGATTTTCTGTAAGTGGTGAAAGTCGTAGAGTAAGAAAGATAGCGAGAAAACAACTCTAAAATTAATTAATTTGTGTAATAAAAATGCAACGTCACTCTCACTCAATATAAATAAAAAATAATTCTCAAAAAGACTTTGTTTTCTGTAATATTCTCTGTCTGTCTTAGTGTTTCCCATATAACCCGATCTTGCTCCATTCAGAATGCTCCAATGAGATTTTACGCTTACACTCTGAGTCAGTCATAACAGCCTCCCAAAGTTACTCCTCCATAGATTGCCTTATAGAGGGATATTTATTATCGTTGTCGACATTGACATGCGGGTTGTCAACCGCAGTTTTTTTATTGTCATTCTGTTGCTTATTTCCCTCTGTTGCTTTTTACGATGCCCGCGGACGACACAGGTTGGTGAATTCTCTTAAATCGCCATTATACGGTTATATTGAATAATCCTTCCATTCATTATAGCCTATAAAGTTCATTGCTGAACATAAGCGTCCGCCGTGGATTGCTTTATAGACGACAGCAAATATGCCCATTTGCTATCGTTATCAAGACTGCCTCGTCGGTCTAGTGGGCGTAAACGCTAGTGCTGCTAATGCGGTTCCGGTATCGAATAAAAGGTTAAGCAAAAAAATGAGTAATTGAGTTTTTCTATTAAGAAATCCTCAGAAATATATCATCGCAAATGTATGTATGAATATTTCATTTACGGTACAATGTAAATTACCTTAAGTGTTAACAGAGAGAAGTTTTAAAGATGCAAGACGTCTGGTACAATCATGGCCAAGCCGCATGTTATGTACATAGTGGCAAACCAGAAAAGGGCAATGTCCAGCAGGGGAATATTGCAGGCCCATCATTAAGAAGAATTGATCACAGTTTATTCACATAATTGTATGTGTGCATGAAGTTGTAATAATCCGTTAAGATGCCTTGTAATCCAGTCGTAGAAGACGATTTTAGAGCACTTGAATAGTTTACGCTGACTAAACAATTCATCATTATCACCATTACAGCCCTTCACAAATCAACTGCTGAATAGAGGCCTTCCCCAAGGAATGCCACAAAGCACGGTCCCGAGCCACCTGCATCCATCGACTTCCTGCATGTCTTACCAGGTCGTCACTTCATCTAGTAGGGTCCATCCGTACAAACTAAACAATTGGCCTAGCATATTTATTACCAGAATATCTAGATATTGTAACGAAAAGGAACATTACTATTATAATATTTAAATTAACTTTATAATTGGGTTTCTTGCCCAGTAGTTCTTTATTTCAATGGAAACCGCGACAGAGGTTTCTCCGGATTTACAACAAAAACAAAAATATTTAAAAAAAAAATATTTATTTTAATATAAATTATTCTTATCAATTTTTAGATTAAATCTATTTTTATATAATCTTAGAATTTATATACATTTAAGTGAAAAGAAAGACTTACATTAACAAATAATACCTTAACTACACACCAATAATAATAACTTCATTAACAATATTAAAAGCATAAATAATCAAATAATAACAGTATTTAGTCGACATTCGAATAATCTACACAAAATAAGTCATAATGAGTAGCATTACGAAATATAATGATAAATCCACAAGAAATTTATTTTAAGATCACTAAGAGGCTACAGGGACCGTTGGCGAAATATACACATACATTAAAGTTATGCTCATAGCGTATGCATTATGCATTCGATATGAGCGACTAGCGTTGGGTGACTGCCTCGTTATTTGAATAAAATAGTCACGGTTGAAATAGGTCATCTAGACAAAGTAGCTGCCAGAGAAGTCATGTTTAAAATCCTTAATAATATAACTAAAAAAATGGCAGGACAAAATTAATTATTTCCTACATTGACATTACTTTTAAAGCATTACCTTCCTTAAATTATTTAAAATAAGCTCAAAAACGTCCTATGTTATGAATTATACTTAGCGTATTCCAAATTACACGCTTGGTAGGCGTTAGCGTGTCAAGCTATAAACGGCGTCTGTCATCGTCATTTATCAGTTTACACTTCGTAAATGTGCCTATAAAATACTGTAACATAGAAGTCCAAAGGTAATGTTATAATTTCTCTACATTAGGGTAAATACCGATCCACTTGCACTTGCGCCATTTTGAGATACATTCGTTCCGTGCGTTATTATTTTATGTTCGGTACTTTTCTAAATTTTCTTAACCTATATATGTTATACCTAAAGCTATTGTTGATTTCAAAAATAGATAAATATCAATAATTTTTGTGACTAGCTATATATCATAATTATTCTAAGATCCAGTAAAAATACCATAAATAGAAAATCCCTTACCTAGAATATTTAATGTTTTGTGTATTATACTAGTACGTCTAAAACAGGTACAATCTTATTTATTATATACAAATGAAGTCTATATTCGATAAAAGATTAAATATAAACATAACTGAATCTAATATTAAAATAAATATCAGTTTGAGTATTAAATTGTTCAGATTTTACTTCAAATAAATATTATGCATCAACTGCTGCTAGAGTTTTTTTGGGGACAACTACAATATACCGCAATCAATTTGGACAAACTCGTAGGAAATTGATAAGTGAAAAATAACTAGACCTCTTTTTTACTACTTTACGAGACATCAACACGTTATATTCAATGGTCCTTAAGCCGGAATTCGTTCGCTTTTCCTCACTTCTGCTTCTGCTTTTGATTTTTCCTTTGCTCCCAGCGAGAAAATTATTTTCGATAACGATACTGACGGAGCTTCAACTAATAACCAATATGGGTAAGAAACTAGGTATGTAATAATAACTGTACCCAAGGTAAATAACACCTAAAAACAGAAATAACAATCAGTAATTAATAATGCCAATTTTTTTTTCTAAATGGTGAGAAGGGCAAATAATTTCTTCATACATTCTTCATTTATAATATAAATTAATACATGGTTCATAATAACCCTTGTGTAGTGGTGGGTAAGAATACCCACTATCATTCCGTGGATGTCGTAACAGGCGGCAGAGGGAAAATGAGGCAGAAGATAGGCAGCAGCATCTTTCTAATATCAGCAAAATAACGATAAAAACTGTGGTTGCGTACCCGCTCGCCAAGTTTGGCAACTATGGCAAAATACCCCTTATGAAAGTTACAAAGTGATGACCCCTAACCCCCGCCGGTCCCGCTATTCCTGGTAACGGCGGGGCAGGAGGCGCTAAGAATCTCCGGTGGAGGTTTGTTTGCCACCTACGATGACTCGACCTGGCAATATATAGCCACTTAAACGTCCGAGTGACGCGGCAACAATAGCCTTGTACAATCGTATACGACGAGCGGCGACCCCCCGGTCCCGGTTTTTTTATGGTCCGATCGCGACCAGTTCGACTAAAATGGCTACCACGGACAAAGTTTTTACCTATATCAGAATAAAAATCACTCACATAAAGCTAATAAAATGCAGAATTTCATTAGCTTTTTACTAATCATGAGAAATATTTTGACGAACAACCCGGTTTCCAAAAAGGCTTTAGCACCGTAGACCACATACATACCCTTCGGCAAACTGTACAGAAGTCCGAGGAGTACAATTTGCCACTATGTCTGGCGTATGTGGATTATAAAAAAGCCTTTGATTCCGTCGAAATTTAGGCGATGCTGCAGTCCCTTCAGCGGTACCAAGTTGACTGTCAGTATATAGAAGTGCTGAAGTGCTTATACAGTAGGGCTACAATGGTTATCCGCGTACAGAATCAGAGTACGAAACCTGTCCAATTGCAGAGAGGTGTAAGACAGGGTGACGTTATTACCCCGAAACTCTTCACAGCTGCATTGGAAGACGTTTTCAAGCTTCTGGAGTGCAAAGGATACGGCATTAACATCAATGGCGAGTACATCATTCACCTTCAATTTGCCGACGATATAGCCCTTATGGCAAAATCGCTGGAGGACCTAAGCACTATGCTTAATGACCTCAATAGTGTTTTCCAACGGATAGGTCTTAAGATGAACATGGACAAAACAAAGATCATGTTTAATGTCCGTGTCACACCTATGCCAGTAGTTGTTGGGAGCACTAAGCTCGAAGTTGTTGATGAGTATGTTTACCTGGGACAAATAGTCCAATTAGGTAAGTCCAACTTCGATCGAGAGGTCAATTAACGGATTCAACTCGGTTGGGCAGCGTTCGGGAAATTACTAGGCGGAAAAATTATTAGGCGACTATATTTGCCCGGAGGTTTGAGTGGTTAACACATGCGCCCTCAGGACTGACGAGAAGATCCTGAAGCTAGAAGAAGAGATAGAAAAGTTGCGCTAGAATATTATATGATTATCCGACGTCCGAAGAGAGGGGGAGGACACGGTAATCCTCTAATCCAGCAACTTATTCTATCACCTGGAGGGCGACCATCTGTCCCAAGAAGGTGTCGGATTTATCGTCCACAAGTCTCTCGTTAACAAAGTTGGAAAGATTGGGAGTATGTCGACGAGTGTTGCGTACTTTATACTCAGAATCACCAAATGGTATTCGCTGAAGGTCATACAGATTTACGCATCAACCTCGGCACATCCCAACGAGGAGGTGAGGGAAATGTATGAGTATCTAGAGCCATGCGTTCCTCCAAATTCTACTATACGGTATTAATGGGAGACTTCAACGCAAAACTAGGCACAAGTGAGAACAGTGAGCCAAAGGACTTCGTACGGCCGTTATGGAGAAAAAGGGACTGTTTATGATGAATTATTTCTTCAAGAAGCGGCTCTAGAGAACGTGGCCCTGGTCGAGCCAAATTGAGTGCGATAAAAAATGAGATTGACTTCCATATGACGACCAGACGACTACTGTTCAGTAATGTCTCAGTGATCGCCAAACTGGTAGCGATTACCGAATGGTTAGAGGCACAATGATACATAAACTATAAGTTGAAGGGGACACGTCTATTGAAGTCAACGCTCCGGCCCCCTCGTGCTCTAATCCAAACTTTCAAGTCGAGTTACAAATTCGTTTTCAGTGCCTAGAAGATTGCAATGCAGTGGATGATATGAATGACAAGCTCGTGGAAACTGTTCATGCGGTTGGAGCTAAGTTTAAGGCCCGCCCCAGAAGAACACAAAAATTCTTCGATCACACTCTTAACCTAATGGCTGTTAGACGGGAAATAAAGCTTGTATTGAAGAAGAGACTGAACGAAGCCAAGACTCCAAAGTCTTAGCCAAAGATCTGTCTGTCAAAAAGAGACAACTGTCGAAGCTGAAGATCGAATGGGGCAACATCCTTTTCGGGACACCTGAGATTTTGTCTGAGAATAAGAGGTTCTTTGGGCAGCTGTATACACCATCGTAAGAGCTGTGCACGTCGCGTACATCGCAAGTGTGAATAACGTTCAGAGAAAAAGTCTTACCCGACACTATTCCAATAATATTCCGGACGTCAGTCTTAGCGAAATTAGAATGGCTTTCCAGCAACTCTAAAACGCCTACTCCCCGGGTGAGGATGAAATTACAGCGGAGCTTCTGAAAGTGGGTGGAAAACCGGTACTTGAAATCATTCAAAAGTACTTTAATTCTGTGGCACTACACTGGAGGCGTAGAGCAGAAGTGTGGTGACCTTGTCCTTCAAGAAAGGCGACTACGCTTTTTTGAAATACTACAGACCGATTTCCCTTCTGAGCCGCGTCTACGTGCTGTTTTCAAAAGTCACTACGAATCGTCTCGCAGGCAGACTCGATGACTTCAAGCTTCTCGAACAAGCCGATTTTCGAAAAGGCTTTAGCACCATAGACCGCATACATACCCTACGGCAGATTGTACAGAATTCCGAGGAGTACAATCTGTCACTACGTATTGCGCAAATGGACAATGAAAAAGCCTTTGATTCCGTCTAAATTTGGGCAGTGCTGCAGTCTTATCAGCGGTTCCAAATTGACTGTCGATATATCGAAGTATTTAAGTGTTTTTACAGTAGGAATACGATCGCTATCCCAGTACAGAACAAGAGTACGAAACCTATTCAACTACAGAGAGGTGTAAGAGAAGGTGACGTTATATTCCCGAAACTCTTCATTGCCGCATTAGAAAACGTTTTCAAGCTTCTGGACTGGAAAGGTTACGGTATTAACATCAATGGCAAGTGCGTCAGTCGCCTTCGATATGCGGACGATATAGTCCTTATGGCAGAATCGCTGGAGGACCTAAGCACTATGCTCAATGACCTCAACAGTGCCTCCCAACGGATAATTTAAGTGAACATTCATGAATGATGTCCATGTCATAGCTATGCCGGTAGTAGATGGGAGCAAGAGTAATTTCAAAAGAAAAAAAAAATTATTTACTAGGCGGATAGTATTATAATAACTTATCTGAATCTTCGCTGCAAATTTGGCCGGTTATTGCAAAATAACTCTGTATAGTAATCCTAATAATTAATTACAACTTTATTTGACGACAGTAATTAAAATATAAATTAAAATATACTTACTACATAAGCTACTGATACATGTATAAGGGTGGTCCTACTTCCAGTTAAAGAGCGCACGAAGAGAACATGAAGAATGTAGGCAGAGTACGAAATTCTAGCTGGTGTTGCCCATCCATTCCATTCTAATATTCCTCTATAAACATCTGGAAAAATTTAAATATTTACTAAATTCATTATTCAATACTTAATTTTTTTTAATTATCCGTTGATTATTACAAAAAAAGACAATTTATATAGATAAAATATTCTTAACTAAACATTTTTTCATAAAGTTTGTAACAAGGCCCGTTGTTGCTTATTTCCTGTATTAGGAAATGGCTGCTTATTCATTCAGCTTACAACCTTATCCTATTATTTGGATCTGTTGTTAATTATATTTTGTTAGCCTGTAAAAGTTTACTGTTGTACATGAGTCTCTATAATTGTAAATAGGATATGCCGTAATCATCACGCTCATGCATTGCTTCTAAATGCTTCTAAATTTACTTGAAAATCCTATAAATGCTATTCAAGTAAATTTATCGGAGGTTATGAAAACTTTCTGGCCTTTTCCATGGAATTTACATCGTATAATAGTCAACAAGGCTATTAGCTTTATTGAATATCATTCAGCCATATCTGGCCAGTCCTCTCAACTTCGTCTTGTTATGTATTCCGAAAGGCACTAATGAACATGGGGCAATTATTCGTAATCATGACGTTCCATTATTAGAATTAATTGCCCCATGTTCATTATTGCCTGTCAGAATATATACCCCGTGTAGAGGCGGGTAAAATACCCACTACCCCATATTTTCCGGTGGGTGTCGTACGACGCGACAGAGGGAAACTGAGACAGAAGATGGACAGCAGCATCTTTCTGATAACAGCAAACTAAAATAAAAAATTGCGGTTGTCAACCCGTTCGCCAAGCGTGGCAACTATCGCAATATATCCCCCATGACGTAAGATACGAAAAGACGGCCTCCAGTTCCCGGCGGCCCCGCTATTCCTGGCTACGGTGGCGACCATGGTAACTGCGGGGCAGGGGGTGTTAAGAATCTCCAGTGGAGGTTCGGTTGCAACCTAAGACAACTCGACCTGGCAAGATACAACACATGCACCTTGAGGACTGACGAGAAGATCTTGGAGCTGGAAGAAGAGATAGATAAGTTGCGCTGTGATATTATAGAATTATCTGACGTTCGAAGAGATGAGGAGGATACGGAAATCCTCGAATCCGTCCACTTGCTCCGTCACCGGGAGGGCAACCATCTGTCCCAAGGAGGTGTCGGATTTGTCATCCACAAGTCTCTCGTTAACAACGTTGTAAAGATTGAGAGTGTGTCGAGGAGAGTTTATATTTTATTTTATTTTCTTCAAGGCAACAAAAAATTGTGTAATAAAACGTCTTATAAAAAGGGAAATTAAGTAATTACACAACCATCACCGTTACCCACAAAGTAATATCACAATAAGGGTAATATTATGTTGCACAGCAATATACCACAAGTAGATGAATAATTCGAGATTTCCCTGAGCAAATCCGAGCCCACACAACCACTATAGTGGCTATGCTAGCTAAAACTTGCATGGAACAACAGTTTCATCTATAATAATCTGTTTAAACCATAAGGCATTATTTTTCTTAATAGAACAACTTTATATACAATTTTTGAACATTACAAATGATAAAGCAAATATGTCAAGACCAGCAAAGTTATCATTATATGATTTCATGATACGCCGTGGTAGAGCTCGCTCCTCCGTGTTTGTTCGGCACATCTTAGGAGGAAACAAACGATGAATATACGTATTACGACTGTGTTGGGACCAACTAGGTATGCGTAGATATATTTGATTTATAAGTTAATTATAATCTAACTTATTATGACAGATTTTGTATAAGAATAATTGATCAAAATATAATCTTCTCATTTTTAGAGTGGAAATTGAGAATTTATTTAAAGGAGTGGGATATTATGACCATTTTCTAAAGCATTTATAGTTTAAAAACCGAAGATATTTACGTTGTACCAATTTCAATTGATCACTATATTTTTCATAATATGGGTTCCAAACACAAGTAGCGTATTCGAGTTGTGATCTAATGAGTGACTTATACATCTATCTATACATATAATAAAAATGTAAAAAGCAGATGTCTGTACATTTTATATTTTTGTAATATAGTGATTGAGGGGTACTAAAAATAAGTAACTAACTACATTTCTAGCATTTTTAGAATTTTCTGTCTGTCTCTCTGTCTGTTTGTTTGTAAACGTATCACGTATAAAGTACTAATTTATATCATAAGAATCATTAAGAAAAATATAAAGTGTATCTTCGTGTTACATTTAGTCTTTATGTTATTAAAATCAGTTCATTCAATCAAAAGTTATGATAAATATTCTGAAGTATGAATACGAAGTATAGGGACGAATTTGTTCAACGGTGGCGATGGTTGAGTCATTAAGTGCATTTTAAACTAATATCATACCATAAATCATAATTAAATTAGGTAAAATATTGTTATATATATATATATATATATATATATATATATATATATATATATATATATATGTATGTATGTATGTATGTGTGTATATGTATTTATAGTGGTATTTAGTTATATGTATGTTTACATGGATATTTGTTTTTATTATCTTTACTTTATGTTAAGTATATTAATATTATAAAATTTTATTATGAGAGTGCACACTAGATCAGCTTCTCTTTTAATTTGTCCAGTATCAGGCCTGCTGGAAGAAATTTCAATATGAAATAAGCAGTGCCTTTGTACAAAATATCTTTTTTTTTCTCTTCCTTGTAACATTATTTTGTGTGTACATAAATTGTTAAATAAATAAATAAATAAATATTGTTCTATAATAATATAATTATATCTAAAACGCAGTAAACAAATATTAAAGAACGTATTAAATAAAATATACAAAATTATATTATAACCTTTTTAACTAAATATAAAGTGAAATAGTCAACCAATTTCATAGATAGATGGCGATATGGTGCAAATGTAATACAAAAAGGCGTTTTGCTTACTATGCAGACACTGGTTTATAAGTTATTTTATGTTTTATATATATGATAATGTACCAATCGCCTCAATTAATCTCTTTTATTTTTAGAATTGATTGCTGTTAGCAGCACCATCTCTCTTTAAATATATACTTATAATAAAAATGGTGATACATGTTGTGTCTGATTTTGTACATTGTATAGAATATTTGTCAATAAAATCATTATAGGGAAATGAAAATAATTAAATAAGTAAATTTTTATAATTTTTAGAATTGTCTGTCTGTCTGTCTGTTTGTTTATAAACGTAGGGCGACCTCCCACTGGATGGAGTGACGACCTGGTAAGACATGTAGGTAGTCGATGGATGCAGGTGGCTCAGGACCGTGCTTTGTGCGATTCATCAGTAGTCCTGTGAAGGGCTGTAATGATGAAATGATGATGACGACGCTCCATCTTCGTTGATACAAAATATAAAAGTTATTATTTTAACTTATGAATTGTAACTTTTAAAACATAAATGTTTACTTACTTTCTAATTTGAACGCCATTCCAAGAATAATTAAAACTATGATTGATCCAAATATGGGTCTTGCAACACCTGAATATATGGCTTTAAGGTATAATGAAGGGTTGTTTTGAAAGAAATAGAAAAATGATCCAGAAGGCAATAGGATAAGCATGACTGGAAGAGTTGCCCAATAGATCAATTTGAATTTCTGAAATAAAAAATAAATTGTTTATGAATTGAAATTCTTTGAGATAAACTGAATTTAGATTATTAAATGGGAAGAAATTTTATAGCACTTCAAATGTATGACTTAAATTATTCATTTCTGCCACTAACAATATTCTCATAAATATACAAATCTATTTACCTTGTATTTTTCGACACTGAACTCATTTTTTTGCAAGTAATAAATCAACATCCCCAAGCTGATTCCCAGTATGTAGCTAGCTATGTTGGTATGCCCTCGTTTGTAAGTGTGATTGAATGTCCGATCCTTTACGAAATAATCACGAACAAGCCTAGAAATAAAAAGCAAAATAATAATATTTTGATACTTTATAATTAATTTAGTTGTCTTTTCTTTTCTTTTTTTTTCTTTAAAAAAAGAAAAGAAAATAATTCTTAATACATTAATAAAATGTAAGCCTATATAACAATTCACAGGCTGCAATGATTTATGTACCATTTAAAAAAAAAGTTTTATTAACAATATACTACAGATCGAATTTCGGTAACGGTGCACTATTGGAAAACCGGGTGTTTCGTCTCAAAACTATATATATCAGTTGTTTCATAATGAATTAAGCAGAAATTTTACATACGTATAGGGTATTTATTAGAAAAAAATATTTTAAGTTGAATATAAATTTTTGACCTCAAAATAAAAATTTGATAAAAATAGATATCAATTTTTTTTATTTAAAAGAAAGTTTTTGAAAAAATTGATTATTATCTCGCGATGTGCTTTGGGTCCGTATCAAAAAAGGTGCAAATAAGTGCAATTCTTTTATCCTTAACAGAGTGAAGATCTTAATACAATAAATAACTCGTAATAAATAAGTATCGGTAAGAGGTAAATCTCTTGTAAAAAATTGTAAAAATATAACATCTTAAACTATATTGGTTATTTTTTGCATAATTAACTAATATAATATAATATTATTTATGAAAAATTTGGAGAAGTATATAAGCATTTCAAAACTGTATAATACTTATATACTTTTAAGGAAAACTTTCAAGTAATGTGGCATTGAATCGTAATAACGTATTTCGTCAAAATCATCTAATCGAACATGACTAAGATTTGTTGCTCTTTTATACTTATGTTAAACATACAAAATAAAATAAAAATACCTGTAAAGAAATTTTATTTATAATATTATATTAATTTATTATTTTCATCACGTAACAACAACTTTCGTTAAAATCCGTCATGAGACGGCTTTGTATGGGGCTTTCCCATTGTGCGGCGGATAATCTCAACGGAGATTAGCTATCTGCGCGGATTACAGTGCACGAGTATGTGCGCAAGCACAAGATGTATAAAAAAAGGATACAAGAGGGAAAAAAACTAACTTTTTCTTCTCTTCTTGCTCTCACCTTCACTCCGTACATCCTGACGATTGATAGATGAAACTTTTATGATCAACAGGTGGTTAAAAATCTAACCAAATGTACCAAATACAAAATTCGGAGACAGGTGATGGAAAGCAGTTTGTGTAATGAACTCACTGGGACTGGGACTCCTTTTCTGCTGAAGATTCCGTCGGGATAGGTACCGTCCTCTTTAGTAGCCTGTTTAACAGGTAGGAGCAAAATTATCTCTGATAAAAAGCCATTTGGTGCATGTCTTGTAAATGCCAAAGCTAGATGCGGGATTGAAAAATACTGAATAACAGAAGAAATATAAAGTAAGGCAGTATCGTTACACTGCATTAATGTGGTTGGGATTTTCATATTCTTATTTTTTTTTCATCCTATCAAAATGTTGTTGGTTGACGCATTTGGGAGGATAATTTCCATAGTTGCCATGCTTCGTTTTTATTGGAAATACTATTTTGGTTATTTTTTAATTTTCGAAATTAATTGGATCGTTTGAAGTAATTCCTTAAACCGTCACATACACCTTAAATTAGTGCGTGCACATGATTGAACCATGTACAGCTATATTATTTTATATTCTATACTGCTTTGCATTTCGTGTACTGAAAAAAAAACGAAACTTACTCGGGGGAGATGATAAGACCAGCATCCAAGTTCTGAATGTACGTATGACAAGCAGGAATAATAAGGCCGACAACGAAGAGTACAGATAGAACAATCTTCCTAGAAATTACACTCGTTGCTAGCGTGAGTATGATAAGTCCTGCGATGTAGAGCTGCATGTCAGCTGCAATATACCTGGAAATTTAAAACTCATAGACAACAGGAGTATTTTTTGCAGTCGTATACTATTGTGTTACGGTTATGGTATGAAGAACTAGTATAGTAACAACCACGCAATTATTTAGTCCAGAGAAATGACAAAGCATCTGTAGCACTATTTGCTTGACGTTAGCTGCAGTAGCCATATACCATCAGATAGACTATGATTGACTATTATGTTTTTTCTAGGCTCTGTACTTATACTATTAATAATGAGTCCATGCGGACCCATGGTAGCTCAGGGGCTTACTAAGCACAGAACTCACCGTAATTTCGCAGTACGTGAGCTATTCGGGTTCAATCCTCGAAGGCAACAATTACAATGTTAGTTGCAACTTCGAGTGGTGATTTTGTATCTTAACCCGCTGATTTACCACGAGCTTTTCGGCGAAGGTAAATATCACGAGAAAACCTTTATGTCTGTGTAATAAAAATTTTCAAAAGCCTCTTAACTCCACCAAAATACACGAGCAAGAAGCCTATACCTGGCAGTGTGTTGTATACAACTTGTAAGAATTAACAAATCGCGTATAAGGGAAAATATACCCTCATAACCTGCACGCCGTTTCATGGGCGAAGTTCTGATGACCGAATGATTGTTAGAATTACGTCCGAAAATTAAACTCGGATACCACAGGCCTGTAGCCGAAAGCATCATAATGTACGCCTGTCCTGAATCGTGAACAAAGCTTTTTTAACAAACGCATGTGTGCACATATTTGAAAAGTCCTATTCTGTACTTGGAAAGTCTTAGCTCGTTGAGCTAAAAAGTTAAAATCGATCATTTGGATCAGTTTTAGTCAACCTAAAACTGACCTAAATGATCGATTTTAAATGTCTAATATACATTATACATATATCAAGTTGTCAATTATTAAAATTATATATTTTTTTAATTGGTTTTGCTATAAGATAATTTGTCATATAAAGAAAAATTTAATTTAACAATCATCATCATTATAGCTCTTCACAACTCCAGTGATGGAAATAGGCCACCTCTAAGGAGACACCTGTATCACGGCGTTTTCGTTTATCTTATCACTCCATCTAGTAAAAAGCAGCCTTACGATTTGTTTACCCGTATGATACTGTTACTTTTTTCCAATCGGTCGTTGTATCTTCGAGCTATACGACCGATCCATTGCTATTTTAGTTTACTAATTCGTTCAACAATTTATTACTGTAATGGCAATATTTTACTTACCACGTTTGAGGCATACACTGTGATTCATCTATATAATTATTTAGATAAATCAAATTCAGCCAGCCATCTCGTCGACAGTCTTTCACTTCAACACCCACTGCGCTCTGAAAGGCATCAATAAATTTTATTAACAGTTTTTATTTAACTTGCAATGTTTGTTTGTTTTTCAAACTCAAACAACAGACAATTAATTTTGCCAATGTAAATAATACTCTATTGAAATTGGGACATTGGTTTAACGAAAACAATTTGCTCGTAATCGGCAATAAAAATTTATTAAATTTACAGTACCTAATGTTAAACATTCAAATATCAATGTGTTCTTAAAAGGGGAAGAGTTGAGTCTTGTGGGTATCATTGTTTGTCAATTGCCAAGGCCCCATTGACGTGAAGCTTCAATGGGGTATCCATATATCTAAATTGGCAGGCACATTTAGCTCTGCAGCATGTACTGTAAGAAAGATTAGAAGTCTAACCAATGTTGAGACAGCTATATTAATTTATATTAGTTATTTTCATAGCGTGATGTCTTATAGAATTTTGCTATGGAGTAATGCGACTGACATTGAAGCCATATTTGTTTTGCAAAAGAGAGCCATACGGGCGATTTATAACTTAAATTTTAAAGAGTACCTTAGAGAAAATTTTTAAGAAATAAACATATTAAACTTGGCATCGCAATATATTTATGAAAATGTAATGTATGTACATAAAACATAAATAGCTTCGATAAGAATAAAGATGTTCATACTTTAAACATTAGGAACAAACATAAGCTTGTAATACCAGTTACTAGACTCCACAGAGTTAGTAATTCATTTATGGGGCCATGTATACACTTTTGAAACAGAATCCCAGAAAATTTACAAAATTTGTCAATACACAAGTTAAAGAAAAATTGTACAAAAAGGGTTATTATAATATTAAATAATACATAAACAAAAAAAAAAACCCCTTGGAATGAGATGATCGCCACCATGCTGGTTCTATTAAAACTCATTTAAAATTTGTACAAACAAAATTATTTCAAGTGAAATATGTATAAAAAACTCCCGCTGGGTTTCTTGTTGGTTCTTCTCAGGACAGAGGTATTTCCCGAACCAGTGGTAAATAAAAAAATACTTTCAATAAGTATTATGTAATAATCTATATTGAATAAAAATTATTCTATTCTATTTGTTAGGGTCAAATCTTGCAACTGAATTTTGAAGCAGTTATCCTCAACCGATTGAGCTGAAATTTTGCATACATGTTAAGTTTTTATGACAATACATGTAAAGCTAATGAATTCATTTTATATCTAATATTGCGGACCGCCCCTGATAGCGGACTAACTGTTTTCTGTGCACATCCATGACTTGGGTATCAATTGAAATGGTTTGCTGAAAAGAATACGAATATTAATGACATCACTCTAAATTCAATATGGTGGACTCTCAAAGGTGGCGGAATATGTTTTCTTTATTCACCCCCATGATATGGATATCAAATGAAAGGGTTCGCTGAAAAGAATACGAATAAAATGACTTCAACTAGATAGTCAATACCCTTGAACTGGTAATTTAACAGCTTATCAGTAGTTTACGGGATTTGAATTAGGAATTTTAAAGTATACTGTCATCTGTCATTTACGATGCAGTCGTCCGTTAAATAGCAGGATACACCACGTGCGGGTGACGTTGGTGCGTAAAGAAAAAATGTGTTCCTTCATTCAAAAGTTACTGCAACTGTTCGAAAGCTTACTGCATAGGTCACCCTATAGATATTTGCCATAGTTGCCACGCTTAGCATACGGGTTGCCATTTTTTTTATAGGATAGGGTGACAAACGAGCACACAGTCCACCTGGTGTTAAGTGGTGGCTGTGACCAATAGACATCCATCTCTGTCATCAATAAAGAATCAAAATGCAGATGCGTTGTCACCCGTGAGGACTAAGATGGAATGCCTCTTTTCCAGTAAAAAGGGTCTCCGGATCTCTACACTCATCATACGAAACACAGCAGTGTTAAGCTGCTATTTTACGCTGGTATTCTGTGAGAGCGTGGTCCTACCCCGGTCGAGCCGACCCATTCGTGCTACAAATATTTTATAAAATATAGTTGCAGCATGGCTCTACCACGTAAAAATACATACATACGCAATTATTTATAATTTGAATTGTTAAAGGCTATGAAAGTGGATGGATATTAGAGTAGAAGAAGGTCTAAGTTATTATACGCGATAAAATCCGTAAAATTAGTTTTATTTAAATGCGTAGTGTTCACGTAAACATAAAAAATCATTAAGGTCTAAGAAAAAAATGGACTGTATAAGTGATGATATACCTAAGAAAGGAGTTAGTGAAGAGATGACGACTAATAGAGCAGAATGGAAGGAGAGTAAATGCTATGCCGACCTCAAATAACTTGGGATAAGGGCAGGAGGAAGAAAAAGAAGAAGAGTTGTTTTCAGAAAGCTACTGCTGCCCATCTCCAATTTCATTTCCCTCTGTCGCCTCTTACAACATCTGTGGGATGATATTATGTTAATATATTCTGTTTAGGCGCCACTACACGCGAAATGTATATGGTTCTTGCACCCCAGCAATAGCTACAGTTATAAATTTCAATAAACTTGCCATACCTGCCATAGTGGCCCTGACCCAGCAAATCTCAGCCAGGTTGTAGTGATCGCAAGCACTACAGCATAAGATGGCGTTAATCTGTAATCAATAATATTTTGTCTGTAATATGTACGTAATGAAAGGTTGCAGCCTCTTTCCGGAAACCTTTAAGAGTCTAGTATCAGGGACAATTATTAATTGTATCGTTACATCATAATCATTACAGCCCTTTACAAGTCCACTGCTGAACACAGGCCTCCCCCAAGTTCCTTCATGTCACAGCCTATAAAAGTCCACTGCTGAACATAGGACTCTCCCATTAATTGCCTCATAGGAAGGATTTTGCCATTGTTTGGCAGGCGGGTTAAGAACTGCAGTTTTTTATTATTTTTTATTGTTATAAAGAAGATGCTGCTGCCTGTATGTGATCGTCTGTTTTATTTTCACTCTGTCAACTTCTACAAAACCCACGGAACGATATCGGGTAGTGGATATTCTTACACCACCATTAAAAAGCTTACAGCGCTTTACAACACTTTAATTACTTACACAAGATGATATGTTACGTGATTCAGGAGCGTGTTTTGTGGCGTTTCTTCGGGAGGTCAATGATCAGCAGAGGATGAAGGGCCGTAATAACTTCTACTACTATTGATAATTTAACTTACCTGAACCATCTCTGTAAAATCCCTTTCGGTATCATAGTCCAATTTATGTCTCTCTTTTCCGCATATAGCTGCAAATTGTAAGAAAGTAAGCATCCAGACATCACGAAGAATGTTTGAACCACCAGCGCGCCGTCGATCAATATATGATATATAATGTTGTAGTATTTCTGGAAACATTAAGTGTTTGTCTTCTATACACATATTTGAAATTGAAGTGTATGTCTGTAATATTGAAATAGATACCGTATATTGAGCTGATGGGGTTATTTGCAAATCATTAAATAATTAATAAACATTTTTAAAATTTATTGTCTGTCTGTCTGTCTCATAATCTTAGGAATGGTTGAACGGGTTGTAATAAAATTTCACGAATATATAGGAGTAGTGACAAGAGTAGTCAAGGCTATATTTTAGAAAACAAATGAGCAAAATTGATAAAACGAATAAGTTTTTGATATACTTAAATTTAAATAAAGCCACATCGGCGGCATGCCAATCTATACATATACGAATAAATGAAATTGAATTTTCTGTATAGAAATATCTGCTTTATATTGAAATGAGTAGGTATTGCATTTTTTTTAAATGAACTGTACTTTTATTTTAGATAAAATAAAAGCCAGAGTGATTTTAATCCAAAAACAAGGGGATTATATTTAAAAAAAAAAGAAACTTATAAAATAAAATGGTCTTTAACTATCTTAAATCTAAATTACAAGCCGCGTTAATTAATCCAACCCATGGGAAGGAGGGGCGGGTCGCTATTTCTTAAAATATATTTCCAATTAAGCAGGAATTAATATAGAAATTAATTACGTATTGGAAACAATATTTTTTTTAATATGAAATGGTGACAAACGAGCACACAGTCCACCTGATGGTAAGTGGTATCTGTGGCCCAAAGACATCTACATCTATCCACGTTTGCGAATCAAAATCCAGATGCGTTGTCACCCGTTAGGACTAAGATGGAATGCCTCTTTTCCAGTAAAAAGGGTCTCCGGTTCTCTACACTTACCATACGAAACACAGCAGCATTAAGCTGCTATTTTAAGCTGGTATTCTGTGAGAGCGTGGTCCTTTCCCGGTCGAGCCGACCCATTCGTGCTACAACTATACCCGAAATATAGCTGCAGCATGGCTCTGCCAAGTACCGTTTACAGTCTATTAGTCCACTGCTGAACATAGGCCTCCCCCATAGATTGCCTCATACGGCGATATTTGCCCCCCGCACGCTTTGCAAGCGGGTTGGCAACCGCAGTTTTTTATTTTTACTTGTTAGTAGAAAGACATATGATTTGTTTCACTCTGTCGTCTCTTACGACACCCACGGGATGATATGGGCTAGTGAATATTCTTACATCACCACTACACTTTATTTTAGCTCTAGCTCCATGTATTGTAGCTCATTTATTCGGCGGGAGAAGAGAGATTGTCAGGAAGAGATCCGTTATAGTGGAAACAAAGATTTCATCTTCGTCTTCTGGGGTGACTGCGTAACTGCATTTTGATTCTTAATCGAGGATAAATGTAGATGTCTATGGGCCACAGCATTCACTTCCATCGGGTAGTGTGTGCTCGTTTGTCAACATTATTGTATAGAAAAATATTATGCTGCCCATCTATTGGTCCACGTCTACTAGTCGCCTCTTATCATTCTTACACCGCCTTTACCCGGCACAAGCATATTTCCTTATAAGACAATTATTTATAGAATTGTGGCAAACGAGCACACAGTCTACCTGATCTTAAGTGGATGCTGTGGCCCGTAGACATCTACATTCATCCTCAATTAAGAATCAAAATGCAGATACGTTGTCACCCCTGAGTACTAAGATGGAATGCATCCATTAAAAGGGTCTCCGGTTCTCTACACTCACCATACAAAACAGCAGTATTATTCTGTGGTAGCGTGGTCCTACCCCGGTCGAGCCCGACACATTGGTGCTACAATCATATTGCTCTTAGCTCTTATAAACTATAAGAGACTGTCTTTTTTAATCTATCTCGCTTATGACACGACGTAAAATATCCAGACCAGACAGGCAGCAGTGTCCAGCGGTGGACGTTTATGGGGGTGATGATGATGATGATTATGATATAACTTTAAGCTTTTTTTAATAAAAGCCTAATACCCTCACTAAGATTTCGGACGATTTTTATCGTGGAGGCGGTTTACATACATAAATTGCACAAGGACTAACAACCGACCCGGAACAATTATTATGTGAACCATAGAAGCACTTGTTCAGTGCGGGATTTGAACCTGCATGTCTGCAGCGTTTAATGTTCTCAACATACTTATTTTACTACCGAAATGTGTTACATTCGAATATAGCAACAGGTTAGAGAGCTTTTGTGCTTTGATTCTGTCCTTTGAGACGTGCCGTCGTGACCGAAATTTGGTCTAGATCTGTAGGACGTTAATATGCGTTATAGTTTAGGTATTGTTTTATATTTATATTAATAACATATTTATTTCATTTAGAAAATAGCTGACAATCTAAACAAACAATATTACAAACAACCTAATACTGAACTCCTTTGTGGTCTAGAAAAAATATATCTAATCACAATTTTATCTATTTTACTTCGTGGGTGTTATTTACGAGTACTTTGTTGTAAAACTCTATTATAGATTATGCATTATATAATATTATAGTTTTAAAAACCATGGCTGTAATAAAAATGCTCTTGCGTTTTTAGTTCATTGATGATGTAAAAGCCGATTACTATTTTAACTAAGTCAAAATTATCTCTTTCAAAACAAAAGCAGGTAAGTCTGTAAAAATTAAAAAAAATATATATATTAAAATTTTGCCAAACAGGTCTTGACCTGTGTATCACAACATAATAATTAAAAAAAGGCTATTAAACCTATGTAATATTCATTAATACATAAAAATATCTACAAATTAAGATACAATTTAAGTGTCTGTCTGTAATATCGAAAAAACTGGCTTCTATTAGCTATGGGGATTATTTGTATGCTATTAAAATTTTAAAATGTTTATTATGTCTCATTATGTCTGTCCGGGCTAATCTTCTGAAAGGTTGAACCGATTATGATAATGTCAAATACCAGAATTGGCTATGTTTTATCCGAAAAACTGCAGGATTTATTTTGCGAAATCGAGAAATTATTAAATAAATTATATTATTAGCTGATTATCTAATACATTTTATGTGATATAAAATTAACATATTAAAGGTACTCATAATTTATCTTCGATTTTACACATAAATTTTATATCAAAAGTTTTGATGTAAATTAGTTTGTTCTTAAAATTTTCTTTACTTCAACACACAAGAAAAACCTTTGAGTTATAAATGTCCTTTTGTATAAAGTGAATATTTGTTTAAAAATTCTCCTATGATGATAATTCAACTGCTTGCCCAAAATATGACCACTATTCAATTTGTTGGCTTCTGAAACATGTCGGCAGAGAATATATTGAGAGTACGAGTATAACAAAAATAAATTATTATAAACAATGTAAATTCGTAAGAACCGATAATAGATTTGTTGTAACCTTATTTGGTCGTGCTTTCCGAAATACCTACTAGGGTGAAACTCCGCTATTTTCCTAACTCAGAGATGCTACTGAAAATTTTTAGACAGCTAGTCATCTGTTTTGATGATTTAAACTGATTTTGTTTCGATCCGGGGTTCTTAACTCGCGTTTATGATCACTAGACCAACGGGCAGTCAAAAAAAATATGTAACAGTCAGTTTTAACGACTCGTATTTAATGGGTGACAACGGTTTTTATCATTTTTTTTAAAAAATGATTAATTATAATAGGTATTTAATATCTCTTAACCTTAACCCCAAAAAACCGTTTTCTCCGGAAAATAGTTTTCACTGTTCCTTTAATTATTGATCTAAGTGTAGTATCATCGAATACTGCCTTCTATTTTATGAGACTTACTGAATTATTCTTTCACCAAACATTGTCGAAGTAAACCAAAGAAATATCATAGATCTGCAGGTTTTTTTTGGTTAATTTCTACGCGGTCGAAGATCCTGGAAAAAGCTATTTATAAAATAAATGTGTCAATTATGTGTTCTAATTATGCTTCAACGGTTTGACGGATTTTAATAAAGAACAATGGCAGACTTTCATACATAAAGTTAGTTGAGAAGGAATGATAGCCTATATATATCAAAAATATCTTAAAATATTAAGCGTTAGTCCCTGAATAACTTTGTCAAAGAATTTCGTCCTGAGAAGGCGTCAAATGGATGCAGGTGGCTCAGGACCGTGCTTTGTGACCGACTTATGAAAGGTTATAATAATGACGATGATGATGAAGGCGTCAAAAAATATTTAGATTTGAACCGTTTTAGGTTATATGTTATGTCACTTGGAAAAAGTCATGCGTCCTGTGGTTGTTTGATGTTAGCTTAATACATGCTCAACATAATGTACCTACCTACATAATCGAGAGTTTTTAGATTATTGTATCTCTCCAGGGCCAGGGCCAGGCTCCAGGGCCTTTGTGTCATACAGTGACATTCTCAGAAGGGCTAGATCCCAGAGCCGTAAAGCCAGTAAAAAAACAGTGACATATTGTTTTAGCTAGTGTTGCCATATCATTAAATGGAATTGTTACATAGTACTATGATTGATATAATGTATTATTGAAGGAAGTTGTGTGTAAGAGACTTATTTTTAACCATATCACTTTTATTTTTATTATTACTTATAGTATAGTTATTACTAATAAGAACTTAATATAAAACTATTTTGTGTTTGTGTATTGTGTTGGTAGTCTTACAAAGTATATAAGAAAATAGTATGAAAACACTAAATGGCAACACTTGAATAGAGTAAAATGACTTAAGTCATTCCCAAAAATGTTTTTTTTTCTGGCTGTGGCTTTAATTAACATACATTTTTATTTGAAAAATCATAGACTCATTTTACATATTATAAGTTATTTTTAGACGCAATAACTTTTTTCAACTATTTTTCTACCCATGTTCTTTGGCATTAAAGTTGATTATGTCGAAGAAAATTAAAACACGTCAAATCATAAGACAGATGTAGGTGTCTATGAGTCACAGTATTCAACATCATGTGTGGTGTGTGATTTGTAACACTTATTTCTATAAAAAGAGACTTTAAGACATTCTACCTCCAGAATATTATAAGGTAGATGATTATGATATATGATTGTGTTTGAAATTGGCCGGGGAATATATTATATCGAAGCCTCTTTTTTGTTGATGTAATTTGTACCGAAGCGGACATTGACCTGCTTACGAGTATTAACTGGCCTAACGGATGAGCATCTTATTTTTTTCCGTTATCTAAGCTGTATAGTGATTTTGATTTTTCAATAATCAAAGTAATTGAAATTGTATAAAATGATATGTATAATATATATAATTTTTTTATATTTTGCGTGCAATATGTACAGGGTAGTCCAAGGGCTAATCACAGTAAATGTTACTGAAAACCCTAGAAAATTCTTTGAGTACACTCGAATGTCCGTGTCAACATTTGTTTATAATATCACATTAAATCATCAAAAAAATTGAAAACGCGCCAATCCCGAGCGATAAGACTGAACTAGTTTGATACTCCCGCCACCCGCGCATTGGGTCACGTGCTGACTAGGCCCGTAGTGGGGCCATGACGCGCGGGGAGGTGCACTACCTCGCTCATGGCCATCGCGCTAGGCGCCCGCTATAGTCACTACACTATGGACCCAAACGGCGGTTTCATATGTTTGATACTTCACACCCGTCGTCGCCTAGAGCGGTTCTCTAGGCTCGCACTGTGGACCAGGGCTAAATACTACCTAAAATCTATCCTATGTGGCAGTCTAGGAGTAGATCTAGGTAAATTACGTTGTTTTCAATTTGTTTACGATACAGAAAAGAACTGCTGTCCATACATTTCTTTATCGTTTTTAATTTTTACCGCATTACGTAGTATAGGATGGGGTGAGAGACGCGGTCATTTGGAGATAATAAACCTGTTTCGAGTTGTCTCACCGACACATTCGCCGTGCATTTCGGTGTTTTTGTTTAGTTCAGTCACGCATTACAGATCAAAGTTTGAAAGAATTGTGTAGGTAAAGGATTGTGAACTTCTTTATTTCTAACTCCTTTGCCTAATTTTTATATTTTATGAACATTACACGTTTTCATACAAAATCTAATTCTAAGTAAAAACTTAATTAATTGATTGTCCAATCTGATAGTTGATATTTATGGCAAACAATCTCCATTCTCTTCATAATCTTACCAGTAATAATTGTAGATTTAGATAAATGGAGATCAAATTTCAAGTGGAAAAATAGCAAAAAGGTTGATAACCCCTACAGTAAGCTCAAAGGTCATTGTCCGTTTTTCAACCTTTTCTCACCTTGCCATGCAACAAATATTTATATTGTATTGTATCGTATAACAATATCCTCCGGACAGAATTTCAGTCACAGTGGCCAGTTTCAAAGGAGACTAACCGTCTGCGCAAGACAAAATTATAGCAAGCACAAGTGCGCTCTCTATTTCCTCACTCTCATAGTTGAATAAAAGGGCAATCCAATACGTGCGCAGAGAGATCAGACCAGGACCAATGACTTTATGGAGAACTATCTGATGAACTACCTGAAAACGAGCTGCTACTAAGAATTTCTTAAAAACCCAATAACTTATTGTAGCCTGATTCGGGAGTCAAACCCGAAAACGTGGATAAATGTAGATGTCTATGGGCCACAGCATACACTTACCATCCGGTGAACTGCGTGCTCTTTTTTTATTTAATTGAAAGTTTATTTTCTACTTTTGACAGCATTTCAATAAAATCTTGCTTTTTAAAAATGTTTTTTACTATTAATTTATGTAAGTCATAGATTTTGCGAGAAAAAAAAGTACGAAAATTTTTCGCATTGCTCGAAAGCTTTTATACAAATAAATCAAAATTGAAGTGTCTGTTTGTAATTTATTAAATAACTGCGTTTTACTAAATGCATATGAAAGTATATACGATACTAATAACAAAAAAAAAACATTTTTTAAAATTTTTATCTGTCTCTTTGTTCCGGCTAATCTCCGAAACGGCTGGACTGATTTTAACGGGACTTTCACTGGCTGATCAGAGAGCTGATGTAATAAGGAGTAACTTAGGATACTTTTATTATGGAAAAAGAATTAGGGATCCGCGCAAAACTTTAAGACCCATGAAATCGTAGTAAATTCAACGCGGTTGAAGTCTCGGGGAGCAGCTGCTTTGATATAAGTATTAAACATACTTACCCTTTCCAATTCATGCGAATCATTTGCACTAATAATAAACGGCAGTAACGAGTGTTCCATTATGACGATAATAATGGATATTGTTCTGAAATAAATCATAATACACGATTAGTTTATATTAATTAATTAGTTATTGCAGAAGTGGCTATTGACCATATGGTAGTAATGAGAAATTAAACAGGAGACAGGCAACAGAATTTCTGATTCTGATAATAAATAAAAATAATCGTGGTGAATTTGACTGCCATATTATATACATAGACTGCGTAGCATAATGGCAAATATCCACCTATTAGGAAACTATAGTGAGGTCTATGTTCAGCGGTGGACTTTTGATAGGCTGTAATTAATGAATTCATTAATGATTAAAAGCTGTTTAGTTTCTTGTAATCGTAAATGAAATGAATATTTCTAGTTATATTTAATAATTAAAGAATAATTATACCATCACAGTTACAGCCTTTTAATGTCCACTGGGGACATAGGGGAGATATTTGCCATAGTTGCCACGCTTGGCAAGCGGGTTGGCAAACGCAGTTTTTTATTTTTAGTCGTTATTAGAAAGGAGCTGCTGCCAGTCTCCTTATTTGTTTCCCTCTGTTGCCTCTTACGACACCCACGGGGTACCACTACACGGTAAAAAGAAAAGTTGAATAAGAAGGGTTATTATAATAAATACATAAATGAAAATAGCTCCTGGGAATGAGATGATCGCCACCATGTTGTTACTATTAAAATTCATATAAAAAAAAATGCAAAATTATTGTTTAGTTATATATGCTTAAAAATATAATCCCATTGGGTTTATACCGTATTTTCCATGATATTTTACAAACCAGTGGTAAATAAAAAATGGCTTTCAATAAGTATTATGTAATAATCTCTATTCAATAAGAATTATTCTATTCTATTCTAAATTAAAACAATGTTGTTGGTTGATTTCGAGAATAAAAATGTTAATGATTTGCACAATTTTGATGGTTGTATGTACTCATAAATTAAATATATATATGTTAAGATTAGCCAAATTACAATAAAAAAACTGCGGTTGCCAACCCGCTCGCCAAGCGTGGCAACTATGGCAAATACCCCCCTATGAATGACAGTAACAAAGAAACGGCCCCCAGTCCCCGGCGGCCCCGCTATTCCTGGCTACGGTGGCGACCATGGTAACGGCGGGGCAGGGGGTGCTAAGAATCTCCGGTGGAGGTTCGGTTGCCACCTTAGACGACTCGACCTGGCAACGTACAACGCACGCACCCTGAGGACTGACGAGAAGATCGTGGAGCTGGAAGAAGAGATAGACAAGTTGCGCTGGCATATTATAGGATTATCCGAAGTCCGAAGAGAGGGGGAGGACACGGTAATCCTCGAATCCGGCAACTTGCTCTATCACCGGGAGGGCGACCATCTGTCCCAAGGAGGTGTCGGATTTATCGTCCACAAGTCTCTCGTTAACAACGTTGTAAAGATCGGGAGTGTGTCGACGAGGGTTGCGTACCTTATACTCAGAATCACCAAACGGTATTCGCTGAAGGTCATACAGGTGTGCGCACCAACTTCGGCACACCCCGATGAGGAGGTGAAGGAAATGTATGAGGATATCTCTAGAGCCATGCATTCCTCCAAAACCCAATATACGGTGTTAATGGGAGACTTCAATGCAAAACTAGGCACAAGAGAGAACGGTGAGCTGAAAGTAGGGAAATTTGGAATAGGGCAACGGAACCCAAGGGGCCAGCAGCTGGCCGACTTCATGGAGAAAGAGGGACTCTTTATGATGAACTCTTTCTTCCAGAAGCGGCCCCACAGGAAGTGGACCTGGTCGAGCCCCGACGGTTCCACAAAAAATGAGATTGACTTCATTATGACGACCAGACGACAACTGTTCAGTGATGTCTCCGTGATCGCGAGGGTGAAAACTGGTAGCGATCACCGAATGGTTAGAGGCACACTGAACCTAAACGTTAAGTTGGAGAGGTCTCGTCTAATGAAGTCAACGCTCCGTCCCCCTCGTGCTCTGTTCCAAAGTCCCGAAACCTTTCAGCTCGCATTACAAAACCGTTTTCAGTGCCTGGAAGACTGCAATGAAGTGGACGATATGAATGACAAGCTCGTGGAAACTGTCCATGCGGTCGGAGCTAAGTTCTGCAAGACCCGCCGCAGAAGAACACAAAAACTCTCCGATCACACTCTTAATCTCATGGCTGTTAGACGGGAGATGAAGCTACATTCTTCAACAGACTTGACAGCATACAGGCATCTGAACAGACAGATCTCCAAATGCATGCGGCGGGACTTACGCAACTTCAATACAGCTCGTATTGAAGAAGCGATCGAGCGGAACCAAGGCTCCAAAGTCTTTGCCAGAGATCTGTCTGCCAGAAAGAGCCAACTGTCAAAGCTGAAGACAGAATGTGGCAGCATCGTTTCCGGGACACCTGAGATTTTGAGTGAGATTGAGAGGTTCTATGGGCAGCTGTACACATCATCGTTGGAGCCACACGCAAGTGTGAGTAACGATCCAAGAGCGAGTCTCATCCGACACTATTCCGAAGATATCCCGGATGTCAGTCTGAGCGAGATTAAAATGGCTCTCCAGCACCTTAAAAACGGTAAGGCCCCAGGCGAGGATGGAATTACAGCGGAGCTTTTGAAAGCGGGTGGAAGACCGGTACTTGAAGTCCTTCAGAGGCTCTTTAATTCTGTCCTCCATGGTGGCATTACACCGGAGGCGTGGAGCAGAAGTGCGGTGGTCTTGTTCTTCAAGAGAGGTGACAATGCTCTCTTGAAGAACTACAGACCGATTTCCCTTCTGAGCCGCGTCTACGTGCTGTTTTCGAGAGTCATTACGAATCGTCTCGCGCGCAGACTTGACGACTTCCAGCCTCCCGAACAAGCCGGTTTCCGAAAGGGCTTTAGCACCATAGACCACATACATACCCTACGGCAAGTTGTACAGAAGTCCGAAGAGTACAATTTGCCACTATGTCTGGCGTATGTGGACTATGAGAAAGCCTTTGATTCCGTCGAAATTTGGGCGGTGCTGCAGTCCCTTCAGCGGTGCCAAGTTGACTGTCGGTATATCGAAGTGTTGAAGTGCTTGTACAGTAGGGCTACGATGGCTATCCGAGTACAGAACCAGAATACGAAACCTATCCAATTGCAGAGAGGTGTAAGACAGGGTGACGTCATATCCCCGAAACTCTTCACCGCTGCATTGGAAGACGTTTTCAAGCTTCTGGACTGGAAAGGATACGGTATCAACATCAATGGCGAGTACATCACTCACCTTCGATTTGCCGACGATATAGTCCTTATGGCAGAATCGCTGGAGGACCTAAGCACTATGCTCAATGACCTCAATAGTGTTTCCCAACGGATAGGTCTTAAGATGAACATGGACAAAACAAAGATCATGTTTAATGTCCATGTCACACCTATGCCGGTAGTTGTTGGGAGCACTAAGCTCGAAGTTGTTGACGAGTATGTTTACCTGGGACAAATAGTCCGACTAGGTAAGTCCAACTTCGACCGAGAGGTCAATCGACGGATTCAACTCGGCTGGGCAGCGTTCGGGAAGCTACGACACATCTTCTCGTCAGACATACCTCAAAACCTTAAAACGAAATTGTACAACCAGTGCGTGTTGCCAGTGATGACTTACGGAACTGAGACGTGGTCCTTCACTGCTGGCCGTATGAGGAAGCTCAAGGTCGCTCAGCGAGCTATGGAGAGGGCTATGCTCGGAGTTTCTCTGCGTGATAAACTTAGGAATGAGGATATCCGCAGTAGAACCAGAGTGACCGACATAGCCCAACGGATTAGTAAGCTGAAGTGGCAGTGGGCCGGCCATATAGCTCGAAGAACCGACAACCGATGGGGAAGAAAGGTTCTCGAGTGGCAGCCTCGTACCGGTAGGCGAAGTGTAGGGCGTCCCCCCACGAGATGGAGTGACGACCTGGTAAGACATGCAGGAAGTCGATGGATGCAGGTGGCTCAGGACCGTGCTTTGTGGCATTCTTTGGGGGAGGCCTATGTTCAGCAGTGGACTTGTGAAGGGCTGTAATGATGATAATGATGATGTTAAGATAAATACCGTAATCCATTGAAGCCTTTTAGCCGTCTAAGACGTGGATCAGGGCCATCGGCGGGGCGTGCCACCAACTTCTTCCAATTGCGTCTGATCGAGAAACACATCAGAAGTTTGTTCCCTGCAATTTAAAATTATGAATGAACAAGCTGCAACATGCTGTTTTATCTCCTCAGGGGTTGAGTTTTTAAAAATCCTTTCTTAGTCGCTGTGAATGACAAGAAAGAAGTATATAGGCCAAATTTCAAATCAATAGGGCGTATAGTTTTGGAGATCTTGGGATGAGTGAGTCAGTGGTATTTCGCTTATCTTTCTTTATTATATAATTCTTCCGTCCGTGTGTATGTAACTGCACTCCTAAACTACTGGGCTGACTTTGATGAAATTTTGTGTGTGTGATTAAGTTGATTCGAGAATGGTTTAGATTCACAATTGGACCCGTTAGGTGGTACTGTAGTCGATATTCAGAAATTATCGTTGCGAAAGCCGGGGCGTTTTATTTACTATTTATTCGTCACACACAGTACAACGCACAATATCTCTTCTCTCCTATTTATCGCTTTTATAATTATTAATATTATTATCAAATTCGTTACATTTTTCTTGTGTTTCTGAGATTTATTAAATATTTTACGAGTTAATAAGTAATTTGCATACTTATTTGCATATTTAATAAATAATATTGTAATAGAATTAAATGAAATATTTTTTATTTATTATAGGTTATAAGTAATTCTTATTTGAAATCATTTTTTAATTTTACCACTGGTTCTGAAAAAACCAAATATTAAAAATCTAAATACCAACGTGTTTTAAACGAAAAAAATTTAGTATATAGCTGTTTGTTACTCAAATAAAGTAAAATAAAAATATACTTAATAAAAATAAAAATCCCTCAGCCAAGCGAGACGATTGGGGTAAACTCTCTTAGCAACAGGAGAAGTCCAATAGACATCCATCTAAGACTTTTACGGACTGTTTATGATATTAATGTTTCTTTCTGAAGTAATAGTTATATTTCATTTTTTTTTCAATTAGCGATGAAAAAAAAAACAAAATACTGATATTCCTACAAGAAGAAGAGTTAAAAATATTTACAAATAAAAATAAAAGTTAAAGAATAAAGCACTGAGGCGTTGTTTTATGTATATGACGCAGGCTTGTGGTAAAATCAGGTTTTTGATCAAATACTTTGGCTTTTGACCTAGAACCGAAAGAAGACAATATTACTACTTAATCTTACTGACGTAATAGAGCCACGCTGCATCTATGTCATGGTTTTGGTACGAATGGTTTGGCTCGACCGGGGTAGGAACACGCTCTCACAGAATACCAGCGTAAAATAGCAGCTTAATGCTGCTGTGTTTCGTATGGTGAGTGTAGAGAACCGGATACCCTTTTTACTGGAAACAAGGCATTCCATCTTAGCCTTCAGGGGTGACAACGCATCAGAATTTGGATCCTTAATTGAGGATAAATTTAGATGTTTATGGGCCACAGCATCCACTTACCATCAGATGGACTACGTGCTCATTTGTTACCCTTATTCTACAAAAAAATGTTATCATTAGCATTAAAAAATACTATTGTATCAAAAATCTAAACTTGTTCGGGTTTATGGTAAACTTTAAGCTTACGTAAATTAAGGTTATCTAATTGTTTTATTTATTGAAAGAAATAGCAACCGACATTGATTTTATCTAGACTTTTGATCAAAAAACTGGATTTTCTCAGATTTATGACAACATAAAGTAATAATTTCGTCTTCTTCCGATTCATGATCATTTCATCATTCATGCCTAGGTTTTTGATCAAAAACCAGGTTTTCTCATAAATCTGCGACATATAATTAAATCGCTAACTTTTCAATGTAAAGTAAAGTAAAGTTGTAGCCTATTCACGTCCCACTGCTGGGCACAGCCCTCCTCTCATTTCTGAGAGGGTTTTAGGGCAAGGAAATGTTCGCCACGCTGCCCTAATGTCTGTGTTAGCGAACTTCACATGTCTTCGAAATATTTTTTTTTCTTATTTCTCAGACATGCAGGTTTCCTCACGATGTTTTCCTTCACCGCCGAGCACGTGGTGAATCAGCACTTAAAATTGCAATTAACAATTTCATTGGTGCCGGCGGGGATCGAACCCGGGTTGCTCGAGTATTGTGAAGCTTACAAGGAGCGCTAACCATCTGAGCTACCGCGGCTCTACTTTACTTTTTTTCTACTTTTCAATAATGATTACTCTATTCTGCATTGCTTTCTATCTGCATTGCCTTGTTCCCAACTTCTGGTCATCGTAAGATTATTAGCCCTCATTGGGTGGAATTTTACGTGACCATAACAATTATAAAAAGGCAGTACGTATAATGATTTCTTTGTATTTACGCAAATATTTTTTATCAAATTTTTGGTCCCTCAGATCTAATGTAATGGTTGATATGACCCTGAACATGTTTGTCTATTTTACCCGTGTTTATTAAGTTTTATTCAAAGGCAGTCCAGTAAACAAGTGTCAAAAACGTTACGTTAACGAATAGAAGAGGAGACAAATCATCTTGCGGCTCACCTGATGGAAAATGACTACCGCTGCCCATGAACAACTGCAACACCAGGGGAAAAGCTAATACGTTGCCGCCTTTTAAAAAAGAGAAGGCCCTTTTCTTGAAAGTCCCTAAGTCGCATCAGTCCAAACATCGCTGGTGTTAGTCGATTCTACAAGGAAGTTGTGTGAGGAAGAAAACTTCTAATAAATTTTGTCTGAAGCGACAGCTCCCACATTTTATAAAAGGCTATATACTGCTCTGAGGTTATTTTAGAGAGAGAGAGAGAGAGAGAGAGAGAGAGAGAGAGTTACTCATTTGTATCCATTCATGTCTTATGTATCACACAACAAGCTATGTAAAAGCGTAAAAAGACGTGAAAAATCACTACGCAAGAAAACCTAAAAATCAAATATTGTTCTAATTTCGATCTGGTTGGATTTCGAATTTAAGATCCGCGATATCAAGACACTTTTAACTTTAGTACGCAATCGCTGTCTCAATCATTTATATAGTAATTTATGTAATTAACACTTAAAATCAAATATTATAGTAGTGCACTGGTTTCTAATAGTAAAAAATAAAAACAATTAAGCTATGGGAAAAAGATATTTGACGATTTACATAAATGCTAATGGCCACATAATATATAACGTTATAAAATGATTTATTTTATAATTGAATTTAATTGTATTCAATTAGCGCACTAACAGCAAGCATAAACAGGTTAACAGTCCTAAGGTTTTGACATTTGAGCGGGAAATTCCTATGACACTTGTAGGACCGGTTAATTCATAAGTGTTTGCTGGATATTGTAGCTTCCTACATAGATATGAGAATCGTCAAATTTATTACTGCACTGCCTCGCAGCTTTATTCGTATGGAATTTTTATTTGCCAAACTGCCGTATATTATCCTAAAGACAGTTAAGCGTATTAAGTCAACATTTGAGTTTTAATTAAAAAAAAAATACGTTGGAATCGATATCTAAGTAAGAGTAATGTAATTATTAAAAAATTGATATTGAAAATAGATAAAGTATTTATTCTGCCGCATATTTAGGTTATCTTTGCCTTTCAGTTTATTTTACAAAATAATTTAGTATGACGAAATGATAAAATATTTGATGATGATGAAATATTTTTTATTTTAGCTTAGCAATTTGTAGTTATACTAATTAAGTAATACGACACTGAAAAGTCGCTTACAATACCATATCGTAAACATTTTTAATTACTTCCAGTATATTTTTTAATGCGTAGTTATGATCCAAAACTTAGCTAAAAGGCGGTTTGTACCTTAATTTATTTTAAGAAAACCGCTAAAGAGTAGCCGCTTGAATGCCTTTAAGTGGAGTGATAATGACTGAAATTTTTAAGGAAGATTTTAATTGGTCTATCAAAAATATTACTGTCCTTTAAGTTCGTTAAATAAGTCTTGCATAAAGTAAGCTGCCTGGTAGTGTAGAATTAACTAGGTCATATTTTATAAATTAGAATAAATAAGCAACTAAACATAATCTTATTCAATTGAAATTAATCAAATGTTTGTATTATTCAAAATAAATTGTTATTGTTAATGTTAACGTTATTTATATAAAAGTATATAAAAACAATATTAGTACAACTTTTTTATTTTGAGTAAATGAATGAAGGACAGATTAAGTATGGATTTTTTAAATATTGGTAAACAATTGTCATTATTCTATTATTCTTGAAAATATAATATTTAAATAACAACATAATAAAATTAAAGCATAGTATCACTTCCTGTTGATGTTGGGTTCTTAATTTTAGTATATTATAGAATATTATAATTACACTTTTATGAAAAAATATTGTACAGTATAAACTAAATATTTAGATAAAATTGAAGTGTATCTCTGTAATATCGAAATAACTGCCTTTTTGGACTCAGGAGTTCTTCTGTATTCCACTAAGACATAAATAACTATTTATAAACTTTTTGTCCGTCTGTTTGTCCAGGATAATCTTCGGAATGGCTGAACCGATTGTGATGAAACTTCATGAACAGATAGAGGAACGAAGCTATATTTTATTTGTAAACTTTTTTTTCTAAAATGATAAATATCATAAAATAATTGGTAATTGATAAATATCTACTTTGGCTGACAAGTAACTTACACACCCCGGATATCACCTTCACCTAAACGCATATGTAACAAGGAATCTGTGTTTGTCACTGCTATTTTTGTTTAAAAGTGATAGCAGGTATCTACGGTCTACAGACATTAAGTGCAAGATATACTCCTACGGACAGTGTTTTGATGTGGATGATTAATCATCATCAAAACAACTTCTCAAGTTCACTGCTACTTTTGAACAGTAGCCTTCCTCTAAAGGAATACTATCACGCTAAATCACATGCGTAATAAATAATAGGAAATCAAAACTGATTATCTAAATCTAAAGACGAGAACAGCTGGTGCTGATAGTCGGAGTCAAAATAATTGAAATTTTAGAATTAATTCATTATAAATAAATCATGTATCAGACGGGTTGATCCAAGTTATTTCGTAAGAATTCAATTTGTCCCATTTTCAGACGGTCACTAAAAACTCAACTTTGATAAAAGTGAGAGCCGACTCTAAAAAACTAAATAGAATAAAGTCATTTCAACATAACAGCTTCAAAAGTCGGTGCTAAGACATAGCATATAAAGTTAATCATTTTATATTATACTAGCTGTTCCCCGCGACATCGACCGCGCGTAATATTTTTACGATTGGATTTCATGGGTTTTAATTTTTTGCGCCAAATCAGCCGAAATCAGGGTTCCCTGATTCTAGTTCTAAAATAAAAGTAGCCTAAGTTACTTCTCATAACATCAGCTATCTGCTATCTAGCCGGAACAAACAGACAGACAGAAAGACAGACAGACAAAAATTTTAAAAATCGTGTTTTTGTTATATATTTTCATATGCATACAGTAAAAAGCTGTTATTTCGTCATTACAAACAGACACTTCAATTTTATTTGTTTGTGTAGATTGCTGTTGCTGTAATAATAATTTTATATGCTAAGACCTATTATAAACCTCGACTTTTAAAGCTTTTATGTGAAAATTATATTTTTTTTTAGTTCCTTGAAGTCCATAGCGTACCGCCTTGGCCAGTTCTACAGGATACATTCTGTTTTAAATGAATAATATATTTTTCCGTACTTTCATGCTGTTCTCAAGAATAAATAATGACGTAAGTGGCAAAATATTTGTCCCCTAGAAAAGGACGAGTAGTAACACGAGGCCCGAGTTATGAAGTATCAGTATTTTATTGCAAAATGTTTCCAATACAGCTGCAGATACCCATTGTAATACACCATAAGACTTGATACTGTAAAATTACGTTACGTATGGTAACTTAGTTTTTGCTGTATCAGCTAGGGTTAAAGAATTTAGTACACGTGTGCTTGCGCAAGTACAGGTTCACTCTCAATTTTCTCACTCTCACAGTTCGGAATGGAATGGTAATTCGATATAACAGGGGAGAGATTAGGCGCATGAACAAGAGCTAAATGTGCTTTCCGAGGCACGATGTTACAACACCGCTAATTTCTTGACTCTGGGCTGTTACTGAAAATTTCTTAACAGAAAAATTCTATAATTAATTTTTGGCCAGAATGTTTTTGATTCAAACCTGGTATCTCAAAATCAGTAGTCGTACTTATGACCACTCGGTCAACAAGGCAGTCAAACATATAGTTGTACAATACAAGGAAGATCATTTATGAACACCAGAAACAAAAAAGGGCCAAATATAGATCCCTGAGGGACGCTGACTTTAAATAGTTATTTGCAATATTTTGCTTTTGCGAGGTTTTTTTTTATAGGAGAGGGGGCAAACGAGCATGCGGCTAACCTGATGGGGACCGCCCATGAACAACTGCAACACCAAGGGAATTACAGATGCCTTGCCGGCATTTTATAATGGAATAGGCTCTTTTCTTGAAGATCCCTAAGACGCATCGGTCCGGAAAAATCGATAGTGGTAAACTATTCACAAGGAAGTTGTGCGAGGAAGAAAACTTCTTCTAAATCACACAGTGGTGGAACGCCAATCATCCAGATGGTATGTAAGTTTTGTCGCGATGTGTGATGGTGAAATTTGGCAGCTGGAATTAGTCCGTAGTATTAATTGCTCAGAGAACTCACCGTGATAGATACGATAAAGTACGCAAAGAGACGCAACATCCCTACGCAGTGCCAGTGACTCAAGCCGATCGGAAAGAACTCGGTTGTCGACAATTCGAACCGCTCTGCGCTGGATGAGGTCAAGTGGAATGATCTGGCACTGGGGAGCCCCTGCCCAGAGATGGGAACAGTATTCCATGTGAGGCCAAACCTGCGCCTTGTAAAGTTGCAAGCGTTGTGCTGGCCTGAAATACTGTCCCACTCTGCTGAGTATGCCAAGCTTTTTAGAGGTCAATTTGGCCTTCTCTTCCAAGTAACCATGAAACTAAACGTCACTCGATATGTCGACACGAAACTGAGGAGATACGATAAAGGAGATCTTTTTAGCGATAAAGGCGCAAACTTGTGTCATCTGGGGATTGAAATGGACTAGATTTAATCGCCCCCAATCTGACACTTTGTTTAAGAAATTCTCGACTTCAGACAAATGCTTGTTCCGGTACTCGGCGATGTTTTCCCGAGAAATATTGGCACGGCCGGTATATAATGCATCACCAGCGCTGTCGTCCGCATAGCAATGAATATTACCGGTTTGCAACATATCACTGATATGCAGAAGAAATAGCGTTGGTGATAGCACGCAGCCTTGTGGAACATCAGCGTTAATAAGATTGTAATCGGAGCATTTACCGTCTACTACCTTCTTGATACTCCGATCAGCAAGGGAACTGGTGATCCAATTGCACAATTTCTCGAGAAGCCATAGAAAGGAAGCACTTTGTGCCAGATCTGATCGGAGGCCTTCGCTATGTTCAAACAAATGCCCAATGCCTCTCCCTTGAATTCTACTGCCTCCGCCTATCTATGAGTCAGTTAGACTAGAATATCACCAGCTAATCAACCCCGACGAAAACCGTATTGGCAGTCACTAATCAGTTGGTGAATCTCAAGATACCTCATGAGCTGGCAGTTTACAATGGATTCCATTACATTGGAGAACAAGGAGGTAATAGCGATAGGCCTATAGTTGGACGGAACTGAGCGGTCGCCTTTTTAGGGATCGGGTGCACCAAAGCTGTCTTCCATGAGGTCGGGTCTACGCCTAGAGAGTAGGAGTACCGGAAAAGACGCGTTAAAACACCGGAGCACTCGTATTCAGCACAAAAGGTGGGACTACATCAGGCCCACTCGACCTGTTGACGTCTAGGGAGAGAAGTGCTATATGCATCAAGCGCTGTGTAAACAGCACTTCTTGCATGGCGCATTCACATCACGGGATAGTCGGCAGTTTGTTCACCGCGTCATCTAGAGTCGAGTTGGAAGCGAAAAGAGAGCCTACCAGATCGGCTTTCTCCTATGCATCATGGGCCAGTGAGTCATCCACCCTGTGCAGAGATGGCAGAGATGGCGGGTGGAAGTTCACTAGGACAGCCTTGGCGAGAGACTGGAATGCACGTGTTCTCGAAGGGAAGTGAACTACTTTCTCGCCAATTCTGTCAATATGCTCTGACTTTGCCTTGGCAATGACACTTTTGAAGGACCTGGAGGAGGCATTTTACTTCTTTTTAAGAGCGCTGGTGTTTACATCCTGGGACGTTGTTGCGTCAGCCCAGGCCCGGTAGCACTCCTGCTGGTTATATGATGATGAGATGATATGATTTTGAGAGATTATATTATGATAACAAGAGATGAAGTGCGGCATCATAAATGCCATAATGTTTATGTTTATTGACAGTAAATGTCATCTCCCATAAAAATATCAGATGACAATGTCATAATCATCTGTCCAGGCTTGGAAACCTTATGATCATAGTTTTATACCTGCATTTGTCTGGATCTTTCTTTTGTGGGGCTTAATTTGTTGGATTCCTTATCATTTATATTGTTATATTTTATTAAATGAACAAAAATCTGATTTATAATAGTTATTTTAAATAATTGTTTGCTGCTGGCAACAACAGGAGGATAAAATAATCCTGTCCTGTGCGATGTTTCTCACACGTTTACTTGCCTAACTAATGGACTTATAAAACATACTATAAAAAAAAAACTATTGCATTGCATTTTACCGTAACAGATATCTTCGGCTGCAAATGACGTAAAATTTCCAATCCTAAATAATCTATACTAGAGAACAGCATCCTACTTTTGAATTCGTCTGCGAAAAAATTGTCATGAATCCTGCAGGTAGTAGAGATGATTTTTACTTAATCGTCACGATTAGTAGGCAGATTAACGATCTTAGAGATATAACTTTGACATTGCTGTTCGCCGCCGGTCTAAGTATTTCACGTCTAGCGTAAAAGAAATGTTTATACCGCTATCTTTCGGAAGCGATAATATTTTTCTTGCATTTCCCATAATCTCACACGAAACATAATAATTACTCTACAACATTTATATTTACTTAGGTTTCTTATATGTTAATTTTTTTATTAATACGGAGTGTAAATTATAACAACCAACGTACCCTTGCTTTCCTTATTTGGAACAAACATGAAATCGTACAAGCTTCCAATGATGTTTAGCATTAGTATTGCAAGGCAAATCACTGCAACGGCGATGTCGCCATAGTCTATATCCATCTTATTATCCAGATCATTACACAGAACTTCAGTAGACAGCTTGCTTTTGAGTTTGTACTGTTTCCAAAAAGTATCGTTGAGGCATCCCTCAAGGACCAAATGTATGTCCGCTGATGTATTTTGACTGAGGTAGTCTTTACATGTTCTTGTAACACACACGCCTCGATGAAGACGTGAATGATTTAAGTGCATCTCTCTGCGTAGAGAATATTCCTGCAATAGATAAAATATACGAATAAGTTCATGTAAAAATAATTAAAATAAATCTAGAAATATTATTTATAGCAATGTTCAAAGCCAAATTAGCATGAAATTTATTTTATTACCATCATCATCATCATTACAGCCTGTCAAAGTACACTGCTGAATATAGGACTGTAGAAAATTGCCTCATAGGGTTTTTGCTTAGTTGCGACTAGTACACTTGACAGGCGGCTGGCAACTGCAGTATTTTATTATTTCGAGTTGTTTGTTAACAAGCAGCATCTTTCTGGTGGTTTCCTTCCTTTCTGCCCACCTTCTGTTTCAGTTTCCCTCTGTCATCTCTCACGAAACTTGTAGAGCCAATGCTATGTTATGGTTGTAGCACGAGTGGATCGGCTCGAACGGGGAAGCACCACATTTTCGCATAACACCAGCGTAAAATAGCAGCTTAATGCTGTAGTGTTTCATATGGTGAGTGTAGAAAACCGGAAATACTTTTTACCGAATACGAGGCATTCCATCATAGTCATCAACAACGCATTTGTATTTTGATTCCTAATCGAGGATAAATTTAGATATGTATAAGCCACAGTATCCACTTACCATCAGGTGAAATGTGTGCTCGTTTGTCTCCCATATGCTATACAAGAAACCTATGGGATATTATAGAGTAGTACCTAGAATCTTTTACGCCGCCGCTATAGGACATTAAACTGTTTATTTGATGGGAAGTATAATAAAATTGTATTTATCTATACTTTTTCATATATTTATTTAGTGAATGACCTGAATTAATACGAGAATGGCTAATTTTGTTGTTTTGTTGTCATCAATCTATACATGAGTACTTGTTAGTGAAACTTCTTAAAGAATACCCCGTTCTACATTAAAAGTCTATCCATTGGGAATCCTTAATAAAAATATGAAGTTGCAAGTCAAATAGAAAAAAAAACTAGACAAAAAAGCGTCCATTGAAGACGACAAATTGATTTAGGAAGATGCTGCTGCCCTTCTCCTGGTTTGTTTTCCTCTGTCGCATCTTACAACACCCTCGGAACGATCTGGGGTAGTGGATATTCTTACATCGGCACTGCACGGCGATTTGCTCAAATGTACAAAAAGAAATATCATTAAACCATTCTAAATAATTTTTCTAGGTATTTAAACTTTTAAATGAAAAATATTTCTAATCTTTTGATTGTGTTGCATCAAAAGGTGATTGTTGTAATAATATTTTGGTTCGATGTAAAAGAAGCGATATAAGTGTGTTGGTCGTGCCAAATCAGTGGTCTTAGTTTAAAATTAATTGATGTTTAATGTCAAAGTACAGTATGTTAATGATTATTATTGATAAAACTCCGTAAATTTTTTGAAAGAGATTTGGATTTTTGGATAGAGATCTAAACTATTTTTAAAACTGTGAATTGGATTAAATCAAGACTCTTTGCAAATTACGCTGATGCTGATGTGTTTTTAATCTATTTTAGGAAAACCATATTAAAAAGGTTTCACGGAAAACTATTGAAACTAGACTGCTCCAAGACAAGTTGTGTGTTCAAATTATATTATGATGAAATCGTCACAAGCACACAGTTTGATCGATTTAATAATTGTATATTATATGCTGTAGGCGTAAAAACTCGTTCCTGCAGTAGGGAGTGGTGCATGTTCAGTATAAGACATAAAATAACGGAAGTAAATAAAATTAAAATTCGACGGAGTTATCACCCGATCCTATCTAATATGATCTTTTAAATTCCCTATAATTACTATTACTTACCTCAATCATAGTCATCAGCTCGCTGGGCCCGTCAGACACTAGTTTCAGTTCAACTGTGCAGTATACGCCCCCTGGCTCGTGGACGCATGGTCCGTATGGTTCCAGATGGAACATTGGAGGCATCTTGTCGTACTCAGTGTCTGCAAAATATAACTTATTTTTACTATCATTCCTTGAAAACAATCTTAAAAGTATTTGGGTTAAGTTTTCTGAAATTGAATGTTCAAATGTGTTGAGTAAATATTTGGTGTAAAACAGGTTCAAATAGTTCTTACAACTTTATAATTATGAATGTCTTGTATAATTTGATTAATTAACTTCTCTCTTATTTCACAATATTTTTATAAATAATATCCAAAATAATTATATACGTCCACATTTCATGCTATCACTATTTATTTATTGCCTGTTAAAGGTATAAGGGAGCGATTTCTACTTAAGGGAAACAGAAAAAGCATAATCATGGTGTTTATAGACAAAAAATACATGAATTCTACTCAGTTCGTAAGAAAACCCCCACAATGCTAAAATTACTAAATATAATTCGATAATACTTGACAACTCTATTTGATTACCCACTGCGACTTTGTGCTACCCAAATCTATCTAAAATGATCTTGTGGTTCCTCAAATATTGCATTAGATTAATTTTGGCTAACATAAAAATAATGTGTCTTGTTCTTCAGTACCATTTTAAGCTTAAATGACTTTCTAATCGACCCAAATTCTCCTTCTTATCTTAAGGATAACCTCAGTATCTAGTTTTAGTCTAGTCTCAGTATTTTGTTCACGATCGACTTCCCTGTTAATAAAATATCCTTAAAAACCGTATCCATAAAATAAGTATCCCAATACATTTTACCAATTTTGTTGATAAATCCTTCACCATTCAGGCTGCACTGCTCTGAAACTCCTTGCCCAAAGACGTTAGAAAAATATCCAATAAGACTGCATTTGTCTACAATCATTCGCCTAGCAATATAAACGAAAAAGAAATAGAAGACGTTTAGAAAAAAAAATAGAAGTTTTATTAATTGAAAAAATTTATTACTCAATGCAAGAATTTATTCATGAAAATTTTGAATTGAATTTGATATTTTTAGTTTATTTCTTTTGACATTTACTAAAATTACACAATTATGATTTGATTTTTGACCTCGTAATTGGTAATAGTTAGACTTTCTATGCCTTTCTATGGTACATAATACAGGACACAATAAGCAATTGTTAATATTTTTTAATGTATTATTTGTGATCAACAAATAAATGTTTTATTATTATTATTTAAAAGATTGGTACGTAAACACCTCATGAAGATAACAGATGGTAGTTAGTATGATCAATTTGGTTATATTTGTCGTTATTTTATTTATAGTTATATGTTACATAGTTTATTGTATTTATGTAAATATATATATATATATATATATACATATATATATATTTATATATATATATATATATATATATATATATATATATATATATATATATATATATATAATATTAGTCTATTTTTAATTTATACATATGTTCATTTTATATTTGGCACCTATCACATTTCCACACGTTCCGGGTTGACTGGGAGAGAAAGCCATAAGGCATTAAGTTCGGCCTTTGTAATATTTTTATTAGGTGTACAATTAAGGGTAAATAATTAAATAAGTAAATATTCCAGCACATTAGAGTGGTTTTTTAATTGGTCTTTTACCATGCAGTCTATACTGATCTGGAATGGCTGCCCGTTGGTTTCAAGAAAACTAGTAAGAAGAGTTCTTGTAAGAGACCAGTTCCAGAGTTTTATCATAATTATATTTTTTTTCCACCTGACGTCATATCAATGGTAGCGAAGTGGAATTGAGGGTATATCGAGAAACTCCCCACTCGTTTGTGCTCTATAAAGTTCAGTGTAGGCACCGTGCGCGTGAGATTCCGCTTAAGTCATTCTACGAGTGCTAAGATAGTGTCGTGGTTCTGTTCGGTGTAGTAATTCGTGTTGTACACGTAATTCGTTGTCGGTGTACACGTGTAGTGTTGCTGTTAGTTTGCATGCTTTGGTGTCATCAGGTAATTTCGTCCCTCACGTTGCACTGGGGTATGATTGTGCCATGGACGTGTTACGGTGTGGTCGAACTGTAATTGCTCTACACTGAATGTATTTTGAATAAAACTATTTTTACGGATTTTATCGCGTTTAATTAACTTATTTTATATTCCCGACGTTTCGGTTGCTTTCCAGCAACCGTGGTCACGGGGGACTGAGGTGATTGACGTCCCGATGTCAAAGTTAACCCGGAGTAACCAAAAGTTAAAAAGCTGAAGGTACTCCGGGTTAACTTTGACATCGGGACGTCAATCACCTCAGTCCCCCGTGACCACGGTTGCTGGAAAGCAACCGAAACGTCGGGAATATAAAATAAGTTAATTAAACGCGATAAAATCCGTAAAAATAGTTTTATTCAATGTGTAGTGTTCGCGTAAATATAAGAAATCACTGAATGTATTGTCTGTTATGTCCGTTCCGCGATGGAATGGAACCAGGGCTCCAAAGTCTTTACCAGAGGTCTGTCTGCCAGAAAAAGCCAACTATCGAAGCTTAAGACCGAATGTTACAGCATCATTTCCGGTACACCTGCGATTTTTAGTGAGATTAAGAGGTTCTATGAGCAGCTGTATACTTCATCGTTTGAACCACACGCAAGTGTGAGTAACGATCCAAGAGCAAACCTTATCCGACATTATTCCGTTGATATCCAGAACGTCAGTCTAAGCGAGATTGGAATGGCTCTCCAGCACCTTAAAAACGGCAAGTCCTTGGGTGAGGATTTAATTATGGCGGAACTTCTGGAAGCGGGCAGAAAACCGGTACTTAAAGTTCTTCAAGAAAAGCGACAATGCTCTCTTGAAGAACTACAAACTGATTTTCCTTCTGAGCCGCGTCTACGTGCTGTTTTCGAGAGTAATTACGAATCGTCTCGCAAGCAGACTCGACGACTTCCAGCCTCACGAACAAGCCGGTTTCCGAAACCATAGACCACATACATACCCTTGGGTAAATTGTACAGAAAACCAAAGAGTACAATCTGCCACTGTCTTGCGTATGTGGACTATGGAAAAGCCTTTGATTCCATACCAATTTGGGCGGTGCTGCAATCTCTTCAGTGGTGCACAGTTGATTGTCGATATATCGAAGTGCTGAAGCGTTTATACAGTAGGGCTACGATGGCTATCCGAGTACAGAACCTGAGTACAAAACCTATCAAACTTCATAGAGGCGTATGACAGGGTGATGTTATATCCCCGAAACTCTTCACCGCTGCATTGGAAGACGTTTTCAAGCTACTGAACTGGAAAGGTTACGGTTTTAACATCAATGGCGAGTATATCACTCACCTTCGATTTGCTGACCTTATAGTCCTTATGGCAGAATCGCTGGAGGACCTAAGCACTATGCTCAATGACCTCAATAGTGTCTCCCAACAGATAGGTCTTACGATGAATATGGATAAAACAAAGGTCTTGTGTAACGTCCATGTCACACCTATGCTGGTAGTTGTTAGAAGCACTAAGCTCGTAGTTGTTGACGAGTATGTTTATCTGGGACAAATAGTCCTGCTAGGTAAGTCTAACTTCCACCAAGAGGTCAATTGACGGATAAGGTTTATTATAAAAATTTATTAAATAAATAAAATAAACTCTTTTAAAAATATTAATGTATGTAATATATACATTATATATAATTAAACATATTACATCAAAATGGATTTTTTTATAGGATAAGGGTGACAAATGAGCACACAGTCCACCCAATGGTAAGTAGTTGCTGTGGCCCATAGACATCTACATCGTTGCCACCCGTGAGGACCAAGATAGAATGCCTCGTTTCCAGTAAAGGGTGTCTCCGCTTCCCCACACCTACCACACGAAACACAGCAGCGTTAAGCTATCCTATCCCACAAAACGGATTCGACAAAACTAAATCTAACAGCATAAATCTAATTGAAAAAATGGCGTAAAGGCGACTTATATGCAAAAAAAAATTAAAAAAATGAATCTGCTGAAAAGAAAGCTGTCATATTTTGGATAAGACATCATTCGTCAGGAAGAGCCTGGTTGTTGGTAAAATGATGAAAGTGAAGGTTCTCTTAACCTTGTATCAAAAACTGCCACTGTCACTAAGAAATTAATCTGATCATAATGGATCACGGTCTATATCTTAGTATTTGTCTGAGTAATTTGCACTATCAACTGCCCTACATTAATTTAAATAAATAATAATTAAAAATTAAAAATGTTGTCAACCAACTTCAATATAAATTATTAAGAATAACTCAAAAACTGTTGGTCATACCTTGATCAAATGTATATGGGACTACATGTGAAGCACCAGCTTTCAAATAAAAAGAATTATCGAAATCGGTTTACCCAGTAAAATGTTATGAGGTAACACACATACAAAAAAACATACAGTCAAATGAGTACCGGCACCTTTTTGAAGTTGCTAGAATAGGTTCACATGCAAAAATCGCTCACATAAAATAATTAGGAATTTAGTGACCACTATACGAAATCTCAATTGTACGAATTAATCAAAAGGTATAAACTTACTGCCAAGTTTGATAAATTATTGAAAGATGAACACAGTGCTAAGGATGGCCATGTCATTGGGATTACAATTGAAATTTAGCAGAGCAAACTGTTGGGAGATCGATTGTTGAAATTCCTGAATGGAAAAAGCACTGGGATTATTTAATGAAATTTGAAAATGACTATAAAAAAGTATCCATTGAGAAGAGCCTTTCATAATCAATCGGAGTAGTAATAGCAAAAGCAAAAGAAGTGACTGAAGATAAACTGACAGATCAATTCATTAGTACCGACATTACAGAAACTACCCCAATTTGTCCGTTGATTCATACTTAACATTAATGTATAAATGATATAGATGAATGTATTAAAATATATTAAAAAAATACTAAACGTTCTCCATTTCTACAGTGACTAAGCGGATGGAGTTACTTAATTGAAAGTTTAAGAAGTATCTGTATTGCTTGTTGAAGAAGTATTTCGATAAGCTATTTAGCGTCTTTGCAAAATTATTTAATAGTAACACAAATTCGATGACAAACAATCTATAAAAG